TCTGTTTCACTATTATCATGTTCTTTATTATCAATATCGGTATCTTTTTTCAAAACTTCTGCATATGATGGTGCTGCAGCCATATTTACTACAAAGAAGCAAAAAAAAAATTTTAAAAGTGAAAAAAAAAACGAATTTTGCAATATTTATTATTAATGATCCCCAACATTGTCGACATCATGACATCACCAGCATTATGACATCATCGATAATATGATATCAACTTAAGGGTAGAGTATACGTAACACGAATCTACTTGATCTACAATGGCTAATTTTGATTTTACCCAGTTAAACCTTTACTTCTTACTAAGAAAAAACTTTACTACCTGTTGTTAACACTACACTGGTTAATCAACATTAACATTAATGCCGATCTATACCGCTCTGATAACAAATCGACAATTTAAATTCTACAAAGGTGTTTTAACATTAAGATTGAGTTTTATTACGAATAAAACTCTAAGCGTAGGAAATTTTTGTGGTGGATCTACGAATATGTAACGATCAGACCAAAAATGGCGTCTCTGGTAAGAAATGGACCTTCGCTACCAGGGTATAAAAATTACAGACTATGTATGTATTTAGAAACATAGACACATTATTGTTTCAAAATCAGTTCCTTGAAAGTTTCATTCTTGTCTGCAATACATCATGATCTCAGAAATTTCACAAGAATAATTAAACGATAGACTTTTGGGGATCATACCATCAACTAGAGCAAAAAAAGAGTTTATAGCTATTAATAAAGAAAACTTACAATCCTACTGGAGATGATCTGGATGCCTAAAAAAAATATTTCAGAGAAAAATTTGTTATATAGACAATATTAGCAGTTACTCGAGTTTCATCCAGATGGTATACTATGACTCACTAGAACAGTTAGAAGTTTATAAGTGATTAAGAGGAGAAAATGGAGAAAATGGCTCATTTATTGGAAGAAGTAGCAGTAAAGAAAAATAATGATGTTGTTTCGAAAAAAATTATAATATTTACTTTAGTAATTGGGGCGTTAAAAAAATTATTTTGTAGAACGGTCTTTAATTAATAATTAATTTAAAAAAAATTCACTAATAATCATTTTAATGATAACAAACATTACTACCAACCATCTCAACTATATATAATTACCATTATAATCTATATAATATTAAGGAATTCGACTTTTGAATAGTGTATATCGATCAATAGTTTCCAATGTGATATTGGGTTTTTCTTTCCCCAATAAATTATCCCTTGTGTCATCAAGTAACTTATTTTTTATTTTCTGAATAAATTACAAAAATTTAATTAAAATTAAAATTAATTAATTAATTGTGATAAAGAGAGAAACATATTAATAATAAATAAACATAATAATAATAATTACCACTTGATCTTGTTCTAAATTGTTAATTTCTTCAAGTTTTTGAGCATTAGCAAGATCTTCAAGATTACGTTTTTCCATTTTTGAATATCTTTTAGAAGCAAAACAAAGTAGATTTATACCAACTAGCAATTTTATAAATATCATACTAGCAAAACAAAAATTCACAATTAATTTTTCTAAACCTATATAATTTACAAATAATAATAATTATAATAATAATTGTAGTAAGATTACCTACACAATAAATAATATGATACCATATAAAATCCATACCGCACTAGGTAATGAGGCAACATTGGCCATCGGATTACGACTACTTTGTGAATCTTCTTCTATTTCAAGTATCAAATCAAAAATCATTGTCACAGTTTGTATTGATACACGAATTGTCTAATGGTAATAGTAAATTATATTTCATTAGTAAAAAAAAATTTTTTTTTTCACAAGGAAAAATAATTATAATAATAATATCTATAATTACAAGACATGCTAACGGTATTGCAGCAAAACCAATTCTACGTGAAACCATGGGTGATTGATCAACAAATGTCTAATAAGAAAAATTAATTTTTTTTGTGATAGGGAGTTAATTTTTCAAAAGAACTTGGAATAATCTCTGATTCCATTCCAAATTTAATACTTAACTGATTTATCGAGGTCATTGACTCCACCAGGAGGAAGTCTAGTTGGATTACCAACCACCAAGTCTTTTGATAATACATCAATAAAAGTTTCATAAACACTTGGTCTTATATGATTAAATTTAGTGATGAATGCATGCTTAAGCCAATCAACACATATTTCAGATGCAAAAACAAAAAATACTGGAGTTAATAGTGTTTCGAGAGTTGTCATTTTTGGAAATAGTGGGATGAATGAAGATGGCAAGATTGAAAAAGGTGATGGAGGTGAACCTGACAATTCGATTAGATTACGAATTGTGATTACTGATAAAAATAACGCTAGTTGAAAACGTTCTACTATATCTATTAGATGTAGAATAAAAGTTTATGCAAATAAGTAAATATTTATATGTTGGTGGAAAACTATCTATATCTATTAATATATATGCAATATCTTTCTGAAATTTCATATTATAATGTAATAGTTTACCAGCACAACTTAGTTGGAATAAATTTTCTTTTTCAAATCTTTTAAATACTGATCCTTTAATTTCGATGAATTGATTTGACAATAATAATGTCAGTAAAGCATTTGAATAGGAATTTATTGCCACGTTAAGTGTAATTGCTTGATAAAATAATATTGTCGTATGGATTACTTTTTATTTGCGATTTTTTTATATGTGAATTAAGGATTTTTTTATAATAGAATATATAATTGAAAAATTTAAACATCATACCCATTAAAAAAATAAATATTAAAAAAGGATACGTATATATAGGAAAGCCAAAATAAAGAAAGTAATTGGCCTTAGATGATGACGATTGTTATATTTAATCTTTATATCATAACCAAGAGTAGATTTAGAAAATAAAGATTCAAGAATATCTCCACCAAACGAGCAACATAATCTATCAAGTATCTATCAAGTATTCATTTGAATAATTTAAATCAATCAATTAATTAATATAATTAGAAAATTATTGGCAATCTCATTAATTATTAATATTATCATCTCACGAGCTTACTTCAAGAGCATTAAATATCACGTATAATTTGATGACTGATTGACCACGGATTGAATGATACATTTGAGCAGAATCAATCCCTTGTAATGCTATACACACGAGTATTATCAATAATCCTTTGAGAAGATCGCATTTCTGAGATGAATTAATTATATTGAATTGTCTAACAAAGATGAACCAATCATCAATGAAAGAATTGAAATATGGATATAAATTAATTATTAATTAAATTATTAATCAAATTTATTAGAAAAATTAAATAACTAAATAATGAATTACTTTGATATTTCTCCACTTCTGCTATTAATCTTATTATTATCGTTGTTGTTGTTGTTGTTGAAATATATCAAGTTTTTAAAGATTAAATATAAAGCCAATAATATTCTTAAAGGCAATATCGTAAAAGTGTAAAGAAATGAATCAAAGCAAATAAAGAAACCAAACCACATTATCTAAAATAATTAAATGATCAAAATTTTAATAAATTTAATTACACCGTTCATTTTATTCGCTCATTTACTTTTTAATCCCAACGTTACCTTTTCGATAGCAAAAGGTATGGCCAAAAAGTTGGTTACTCTTTCCCTTTTAAGTTCTTGTAAAGTATCAAAATCTGATGCTGTCAACTCATCTTTAAGATAATCCCATAGGGTCAAGAACCGATCTGAAATTGTGCTTCCATTAAAACTTTTAATGAAAGTTACTGCCATCATATCAATGTGTGCGGATTGAGAATAATTGAAATTAATTAATTGAATTAAATTAATTGATATTAATATTTGTCATTGATGAGGATAAATACTTTATTATTATCATCTAAATGAATGAAAGTCACCACACATTCGTGCTTTTTTTTATTTATTATTATGCACATAAATACCTAGACTTGTGCAATGTATTAAGAGAATTATCCAATTGCTAAATTTGATAAAATCGACTGTTAATCAATTTTATTGTTTTAGTTTTGCCAAATTTGACAAAAATTTGTAACACGGGAAGTAATATATAGTGCAAGACACCCACCTATATACATGAAAATAATTTTGTTTTTGGGAATCTTCAACCAAGCAACATTTTATATGATAAAAACTTATTTGATAAATTTTTAATTGGCCTGGCAAGATGAAATGGATCGTTATCCATTTTTCTTGAATTCAAAAACTAATTGGTGACATTATGAAGAAAACTCGATTGTATCTGTTAGAAAATCGTTTTCTAAATAGATTATTATACATTAATTTATATACATGTGGTAATTAACGTCTTTTTTAAAAAAATAGATTACTTTGCTAATAAAAATTATTAAATAACAATAATAGTAATAATTACATATAATTACACAAGAGAAAATTTAGTATTGAATGCCAGTTTAGATCTTTGAATATACTGACAAGTTATTTCTTGTCTATTTATCAGGTATAATTCATTAATGATAAAGGCTTTTATTTAAAAAAACCCCAATTTTGTTTTTACAACCAATGTTGGTGATGCAGCCTCTGTTAATGAACGACTTGGATTTTTTGAAATTTTTTTTTTAGCTACTGCTTACAACAATGGACACAAATGAATATTCTGTGAACAATCCTGAAATATAAATTTTTATGGAATTGGTGGTTTTTTTTTAATTTTTAATTTTTTTCCTTTTTTGTAAAATTTAATGTTTTATTGCATTAATTCAATTCTACATGCAACATGTTAAAAATATTCATAAACGATGTTTGTAAAAAAAAAAATAAAATCCATGTAACGTCATAGTCTCGAATTTTGATGATAATCTACTAACACAAGAAAAAAAAAATAATAAATTTTTTAACAACATTCACCTTGTTTTTTGATTTCATACTTCCCAACAAATTATGTTTTAATAAATGTGTTTTCAGCAACTTAAAATTAAATGTTAGATACTTGTATATCAAGTATTTCTATACAACTACAACGTTTTTGTCTTTTATTAACAATCATTCCTAAAATGGATAATTATGTTACACCAATTTAATTCCGTTTCTTTTTCTTTTTTAATTTAAATAATAATAATAAAATATATTAATCAATTATTCGATATGTCAAATATTCCATATATCAAATCAAACCAAATCACCTTTCCAATTTCAGCTAAATCATCATTGATTTCGCTCTCATGCAACTTAACAGAAACTGCTGGTCGCGAAAGCTGTCAAAATAAACAAATCAATCAGTTTAACAATCACTAGATCATTTGTTATTATTGTCATTATATGAATGAGAGGATCGAGTACCTTTGTTTTTTTAACTTTAACTTCTGTTTCTTCCTTTACACGTGTACGTAATTTTCTTTGGGGGTGGTATCTTGTACTGGATTCTATCACAGAATCTTTGCATACATGATATATATAAATATAATTAAAATTATTGTTGAATTCTGATAAATTATAACTAATATCTTACCACTTGTTACATCAAAACCTTCATACTCTTCTTTTATTTTTTTCTTACGTTCATCTATATCTGCTAACATTTGTTCTTTCAACCCTTGTTTTTCTGTCTAATTTCAAAAAAATAAAAGTTGACGAGTTTTCCACGAGAAAAGAAATAATAATAGGATCGAATAAATCAATCGTTTAAAAATCAGACCGTATAATCTTTTTCCACTTGTTTGATCTCGGCTTCAAACATTTTTTCCACGCATTCAAGTCTGTAACTTCTATATAATCTTGCTTTTTCAAGCATTTGTTCACGTTTTTCTATCAATTGTTGTAATTGTTCTTCATATTCAGGATGGATTCCTTCTCTCATTGCTTTAATATCTAGATCAATTTGATCCAAATTTTCTTTATATATTCTAATTTATAATGCACAAAGTTTACCAAATTGGCCAAATTTATTATCATCATAACAAATAATTACAAATTATACCCACTCTTCCTTTTTAAAATAAAATTCATTGTTTAATTTTTTTAGTTTATCAAGAATTTCTCCTCTTCTTCCTTTTTTATTATTGCTATCATGTGTTGCTGATTCATGAAATTCTAATTATAAAACAATATTGTGTACGTAAAAATGTTTATATATTACATATATTATGTGCGCTTGCAATTATACTTATGTCTATTTTCAAAACAAACCTTCGAAATTTTCTATTTCTTTATCGTCGATACTTATCCTTGCATTTTCTTCTTTTTCTTTAAATTTTTTTGAAGACTCTCTACCATTTTCAGTCTCAACACCTATGTGAAATGTATTTTGCATCATATTATCATATTCTTCAACTATTTCCTCTTCGGAAGAATTTCCTTCGCAGTAATTGGGTTTAGTTGCTAATTGTCGTTGCGCTCTTTTTGAAAGTGGCTTGTTTGAAAATCTATGAGCAGAAGGAGGCATTTGTTTTTTATAATAATAAAAAATTTATTCAGATTATTTGATTAATTTTTGTTGTTGTTGTTGTTGTTGTTATATAGAAAAATTTTTTTTAAAAAAATATATACTATGCTCTATCACAGGGGTCATAAATAAATACTGCTACATATTTGCTATGGTGTCACGAAAATTTGCATCAGATCCTCTTTTTTTTTTGCGAAATGTTCACTGGAACCTTTCGAACTAGTGAACAACCTGTTCGTTTTGTTCTTGAGAATGTATATTTAAATGAGCTTCATGCTCTGAGGCGCTTTGAAATCAGTAACATTTCACAGCATACAATACTTGTAAAATTACGATCAAACCTTGGATCCCAGATAGCCTTTCAACTTTCCAACGAAAATCTTCCAGATCTAGACTCTCGTGATGCTTGTTCGCCTGATTTACCAACTAGTTTATCTGAGAATCCTTTAACAAATATTACGACAAATACTGTAGCTGCTGCTGCATTTGGTGCCTTCTGTGACAATGTTAATGGTTATAAATTCAATCAGCTTTTCAATTATGTTAATCATATCGATGAAGTTGAAATTCCTCCAAGCTCTTCTCAAAAAGTCATATTAGCCTTCTTACCCGAACCTCTTTATAAAGCTCAAAGATCAGAAATGAATCATTCTTCTGAATTACAATCAACCGATAATGTCACTGGGCCGACAACTTCTGACAATAATCAAGATGACACTGAAGAAACAACAGGAGACTCAAACATTTTTGCCACTTCAACAGAAGACGAAACTTATGATTTTTTTGAAGTCAATGGACTTTTATTCTTTTTTGTATATATTATAGATAATATTAATAGTGACATAGATAATTCTTCTAAGCATAATGAAACGCAAAATTTAATTTCAAATCGCACCTCATCACCATCTATAAATGTGACATATTATTCCGAAAATGATCAAGGTATTTAATCTATATATATTTATGGCTGTAAAATTGCAATAATTAAATTTTAAAAATAATCAGTATTTAATTTTTTTAATATATATACACACACATATATAAGTTAATAATTTAAACAAAATTATTATTGACAATTCAATTTATCGTGATGTCGATAATATCAGTAATACAAATAAAGCAGATTATCAGGTCACCATAAAATTCCATTCAACTGTTTGTAAATCAGTATTATGGACAGATGTTGGCGAGACAGGAATTAATTTTGATGACTGTGTGAATGGTGGCACCTACTTCAAAGATTTTACTATTTGGAATAGATCAGAAATCGAGTTATATTGGCTTTTAAACACTGTAGATCTAACAAATTCAAAAAGTGAAGATATGTTGAAATTTACAGATTATGATACTGGTGAACCATTGGATTCCAAACCAATACCAAGTTACTCTCATAGAAGAATTAGAGTCACTTTTCGACCTAAAGGGATTGGAGAATTTAGTTATGATCTGCAATTGGAAAATGCTAACGATCCATCTAATGTCTTGCAGAGTAGAATCCATGCTGTTGTAAGATCAGTATTAAGAGAAGAACTATTAGTTGTAAGTAGTGTAAATAATATTCTTGATTTTGGTGACTGTTGTGCAGGAGTATGGAGCAAACAGCAATTGGTTTTAAAGAATGTCAGCGAAGTACCATTAGAAATTCATTTTGGAGCAGAGAATGCAGAAGTTCAATTTCATCTAAAAACAGATGATTTAATAATAAATTATAATAGATTTGATATTGATGAATCTGGAACATCTTACCATCAAATAACTGGTATTGATGTTTCTTCACCAACAAACACCCTTATTAACACAAGTTCAACAAGTGAAATATCACGTGCTGGTAGTGAGATAAGTTCTCGCACCACTTCACCTACTCCTCCCATTCAAGAAAGTGACAAATTTGATTCATCTTCGGGAATTTCTTCTTTATTAATTAATAATCAACTTAAATTTCAAACATCAGGGTTAATAAATAGAAGTTTTGAGAATAGTATAAATGATTCAGATTTAGAACCATTTGTAAATAATTCATTAATTAATGAACAATCGATCAAAGGGTTATCAGACAATTATGAGTTATATCCAGATAGTCCAGATGGGTTGGCACAAATAGAAGAAGTTGTATTTGGGCCAGGAAAAGAAAGCACTGTTCAAGTTTCTTACCGTCCAGAAAAAGATGCCTCAGCAAACAATTACAAGGCAGGCATTCTGACTCGCCGTACATTTCGTATTATATTAAAATATTCACCTCTGAATTTAGCATCAACCAGCTTGAGTTCAAATGAGCAAGAAAGAAAAATTATTCAATGTAGGGCTCGTAGTTGTACCTCATTTGTCAAAGTTAGCCCAAAAGAAGTGAATTTTGGTGACACTGATGTAGGCACACTTAAATCCATCCCAATTACCATTTATAATTTATCTGAATTAACAGCTAGAGTCAAATTAGAATTTGTTTCCAAGGTGTTAAATTGCATCAGGAATGAAATAGTTATTCCTCCAAAACTTTCAACAGAAATTAAGCTTGATATGTATCCCAGGAAAGTTAATGTTGATTACCGCAAACAAATAACTGTTGTTAATTTACAAAATCGTGATAATGATCAAATCATTGAAGTACATAGTACAAATATTGATAAAAACCGTGTCACTTTCCATTCCTTGTTCTATCGAATTTTAACATCTACTGGAAGCAACTTTATTGATTTCGGAACAACTGTTGTCAATTCGCCAAATATTCGTACATTTACCATTGACAATATCAGCACAAAAAAATTGATTTTAGAGATAACATCATCATGGCCCGAAGAAATACTAATTTATCAAAAACATCCAAAGGCCGAGGAATTTTCTCAAACAATTAACCCGTTATTAGACAATATAAATGATGAAGATATTGTTAATGGAAATATTGAATCAGAAACATCTAGATCCAAACTAGAAAGACGAGAAAAACTTTTAGAATCAATAAGAGATCGGCGATTGTCAACAAAACATCATATCAACAACATTGAAACAACATCAACTAGTGGAATTTCCTTAACAAATACTTTAGTTGATGAATTTCATAGTGTTGTTTCTAACAAAAGACATGCATCACATGCTTTTTTAGATAATTCTATAACAGATGTATCATCTTCATCCAGTGCTGCTTATTTGGATTTAGCAGGATCACCAAATTTAGATCCAAAACATTCCCCAAGAAAGAGACCATTAAAAACCTCATTAAGTAAAACAAGTGGAATGGGAGTCAATAATACAATAGAGAGAATCAACAAGAATATAAATCCAGTTATGACTAATTCAATAAGTTCAACTGCTATTAGTTTTTACAAAAAAAATTCAATCAATACCACAACTCATCTCATTAGAAATTCTGGCTTCAACTTAAATGAAAATAACGTAGCTGATACAACCAAGGAAAATACTGAAGGATTGCAATACAAAGAGTCAAATAATAATAATATTGGGGGAATTGTATCATCAGCAACTCACTCAAAAGTACCTCCCGACTCTTCAAGATTTTCATGCATGACTTTAGATACATTGATTAGTACACTTGAAACTAACAATCCTACATCACCACTACTGTTTCCAAAATCAACTGCAGAAGAGGCACATGTACGCAGACACATTGAATTACTTTTGGAATTAGAAAAGCGAATCAGAGACCAACAATTGGTATCAGTTAGGATGGTGGAAATTTCACCTTCTAGTGAATGTCAGATAATTGTTATTTCCACACCAAAAAGTCACATTAGGAGTAATGTACAAGGATCTCCAAAGAAATATGATGCCAAAGTATTCTTACGTTTAATTGACTTTGATCGAGAGATCCAACAACCTCAGTTTGAAAGTTTGTTGCATGGTGACCAATCTCAAATTCCTGTAAGAGAACTCATGGTCAATGTTACTTTGTGTCAATCTATCATGGATTTGGGGCAAAAGAACATAAACTTTGGAAATATTGATAAGCATGAACGTCGTAAAAAAACTATTATTATACAAAATAGAAGTGAAATTCCTTTGTTGTATAATATTCGCAAATCTGGATCGATTGCTTCTGGTGACATTGTATTTAGAGTTGGAAAGTCTGGTGTTGTTCGTGGATATGGTAAAAAGGAAGTAGAATTCACCTTTAATCCAAGTCTTGCAGGCCAATTTCATGAAAAACTCATGATTGAAAATGTCCAAGATCGTGATAATAATCAAGTTCTTTCATTAAAAGCAATTGTTCGCAAACAATCAAACTTTACCATTCAACCTTTAAATATAAATTTTGGTGTTTGCTTGATCAATGAAAGTTGTACACAAGTTCAACAAATTACTATCTGCAATACAAATAAACAGTCAAGAATGTTTGAAGTTCGGGTAGACCCGCTTGAACTCAAATTTAGTTGGTTTATTGCAGAGTTGAATTTTTTTGTTCCTGAAGAAAAAGATGGAAATTCTAATGTCACGGGTATAATTAGCAAAGAGATGGAAGAAGAAATAGAAAGTTTGGAACAAAAGGTTAAAATTGCTAGGCGTAAAGGTCACGAAGAAAAGGTTAAAAAGTTAGAGAAAAAACTTGCCAACTTACGAAGAGGAGAAGCAGGCGGAGAGATTATTTATGAAAATGAGCCTTTAGATAATGATGATATTAGATCCTTAAATGACTCAAAAGAAGAAAGGATTGGAATATTTCATGATGGCAAATCAACATCTTCTGAAGAAATCCCTGGTATTGATAGTGCAACTATGACTAATAGAAAATTATTTCATGCTGAAAATTTTTTAGAAAAGCAGCATAGTCGAACATCTAATAACAATAGCAATGTTGGTCAAGCGAAAGAAGCAAATAAATATAAGAAAACCTCTTCATCAATTATTTTTTCAATTAATTCAAGGTCATCAAAAACCATTTCTGTTTATTTTCGAGCTATTAGAATCAATGTACAAACTGAATTTGATGACTCATTGGATGCAGATCAAATTTCTCAAGAAATCATTAATGGTCGTATATTTGTTCATGAATATAAAAATACGGATGTTACTAAACATGTTAATTTCAAAGCTGTAGTTTGTAATGACCATTCTAGTTTTTTGCAAGCTTTGTCAGAAGAAACATTCGATAATAACAATAATAATAATAATAATGAAAACAAATATGCAGGAACAGTTTTTAACTCAACCAATGAAGCAGTCGATTTAGAATTTCCTGGAAAAGGAAAAGCTACTTCATCATCATCATTGTCGATGTTACAACAGGGACAATCTCATTTGATTAGCTCTCCTGCTTTGCAAGGGTTTGATACCACTTCAACAGCATTTACCAATATATCACCAGTTATCGAATTGCCTCAATTTCAATTATCTGAACATATTGGGCTAGAAATTCAAAATCTATTATTGGAACCCAAAGTTCTTGATATTGGAAGGCTTGAAATTAATCAAAGTCACAATTATTATTTTAAATTATTTAATAAAAGTGATACCACCCTGAAATATGAAATTATTATACCAGAAAAAGAACAAGGGTTTTTTTTCTTTGAGAAAATCATTGATAGTTTATCACCAAATGACATTCGTCGTGTAGATTTTACTGTGATTGCAAATTCAGTTGGACATCAAGCACATTCATTAATTATTCATAATTGTGTTACCAATTCTGAGCTTAGTTTTACTTTACATGGCTATGTACATTATCCTCGATATTTGAGATTTCCCTCACTTGGTGATGATGGGCAATCTGTTTTAAATTTAGGATACTGTTATGTGGATCCTGGCAGGAAATTTTCACAAGTAGCACCTTTGATAGTGGAAAATATTACTGAAGATGATGTTTACATAACCTGTCAAAGTAATTTATCATTACAAGTTTCAGTATTTCTTGATGAAAACGGAGAAAAAGGTCAAGTTGTGGAAACTTTACTAAAAAAAAAATCCATGATGACAGTTTGGGTGGCCCTACAACCTAATTTACTTGGCGGTATTCCTACTACTAGTAGAAGGACCTCTTCTATCAATGCAAACAATACAGGAAGTTTGCAATCCGTAACAGGAACTACAAATTTGTCTGATCGAAATGCAATAGCTAATGGTGAATGTCGAGTATTGATTGGTGGAATAAAATTTTCAGTTCAAGTTTTAGAGAGCATCCCTTCAATTTCACCAAGCGCTAATTTTGCGCAGGATATAAAAGGTCAAGAGAACAAAACAGAGTTATATACTGTGATTACTCAAACAGTTAAATTTACTTCTTTAATTGGCCTATCCACACTTTCAGTATCAAAAACTTTAATAAACTTGGGAACTACAAAAAAGTTGGGAGGAATATTTTATGGCTCTTTTGACATTCGTAATGTGTCAAGTCGTCTTCCTTTAGATTATTCAGTTGAATGTTTAAGTGGTAATATAATTCTGGATTGTGCAGGAGGTTCGTTGGAAGGCTGGGAATTAAAAGGCACCTCAGGTGAATCCCCTGACCATGGAGTCAATTCTTTAGCTGAATTTGGACAAATTGCTCAAAACAAGGTCAACACGAATGACAAATCATCAGATGTTATTAATTTTAGGGTCATCTCAACAAAATTCGGATTGTTTCGAGATAAAATTATTATAAATAATAAGAATAATACAGGACAAAATGTGGAAGTGGAAGTTCGTTTATTTGTAGATAATGAAGATCTTTGCTTTTTAACAAAAGATAATCAGCAATTATTAAAAGGTAATAATAATTTGGAGAGAGCATTATTAGACAAAGAAAATGATAAATTATCATCTATTGAATGGAACAATATTTCAGTAACAATTGCTGGCCCCTCTTCTGAAACACAAAATTTTGACTTGGATGTTTCTAATTGTGAAATGAATTTGAAGGCGATAATTCAAAAAGGTTATCAAGCAAAAACAGTCCCATTATATGAACAATGTATTGAAATATCTAATCAATCAACAACAAAGACCTTAAAGATATTTCCAACTAGTGATTTAGCTGTTCAAGTTCGATGGGCTCCTTTTGGTGAAGTAAAAATAATTGAAATGTTCAATAATGAAGTATCGGATAAAAGTCAAATCCCATTTAAGATTTGTGGCAAATTAATTGAGCTAAAGCCAGGTAATAAGGCCCACCTTTATTTAAGTTGTCCACAGCCTAATTTTTTATCTTCAGAAGAAATAAATACGCTAGCAACAGGGCGTAAGGTTACTGTTAAAGGGACCTTATTTTTGAATGATCAAAACCAAGATATGGTAGTTAAAATGGTCAATTTGATAGCTGCCTTTTGTGTGCCTAAAGGTGAAATTAATATCAACTATATAGATCTTGGAAAAATTGGACTTTCTAATTCTTGGGCTGGCATCAAATTTCAATTCACATTGTGTAATATTTCTGATATTCCTCTAAATTATGAATTGCAAAGCCCCGATTGTATAGAAATTTTAGATGTTATTGATGATAGCTCAACTGAAGTAAACCATAGTGTCGTCTCTTTAAAACATAAGGTAGAACCACACATTGATCAGACAATTACTGCTGTTCTCAAGCCTCATAGAATTGAAAATTATGCTCCAGGCGAACAATTATTTGTTGTAAACATTTTGAATATGTTTAATCCACTTAACATCATGACTTTGAAAGTTAAAGCAACACTTACATCATTTGAGCTTATGTTTGATAGATTGATACAAGGCGATCTTGTACTTCCTATCCTTTATCATCCAATTTCCTTTTCTGATCATCCTTGTGATGAATGGTTTACAATTTTCAATATAACAGACCAAGATATTCGCTTTGAGATTGGTGTCGAGCTAGCACCTGATATTTCAAGCTTTCTTAAAATTGAAATTCTTTCAAGATTTTCTAATACACCATTAGTCGGAGGAGTTTCAATTTGTGCACATGGCTCAATAGAAGTAAGAGTGCGTGCTTATCCTATTGAAACCAAAAGAATTCCTCGTGAATCATTATATTTAACAAATCAAGATGGTGTTACTTTTGGCAAATTATGGGTTGCTACTAAGCAGGCAAATAATGAAGATGATAAAACACAGAGGATTGAAAAAACTATAACTATACGTGGTGTAATTGCTGAATCTGTTATTTTTACTATTTCACCCAAAAAGCTATTTTTTAAAACTGAATGGATTTCTTCAGATAACGAACTTAATAATGAAATTATTAAAGGAACCAATAGATCATTTCCAGGTATTGGAAGCAAGACACAACTATCACAAGATGATTCTTTAGATAGTTACAGTACTGAAGAAGATTTAATTCAGAGAGACCATCTTATTATTACAAACATTTCTAGCAAGCTTCCGCTTTATTTTAAGGTGCAAGTTGAAGGTCCAATGGAGCTTTCTGTGAACGATATTATTAATATATTTCCTTTAGATGAAAATAATTGTGGAGTTGTTGAGGCTAAACAAAAGCTTATATTGGGTATCGAACTTGTTGATACTTCAGCTGTTGTTTCTGAGGATATAAAAATCCACATAATTGATTTAAAATCATTATCTGAACAAAAGAAAACAATTGTTGTTAAAATTGAATCTGATACAAGGGAGCATCGCTCAAAAATAAAGAAGGAACATTGGGTTGAAGAAGGAGCCGAGACTATATCTGAACAAAATAATGATACAGTTCTTAAACTCTTGGCAAATTCATTGGATAAATCACTTCAACACTTGGACCATTCTCCAAGTTTGCCTTTTATAATTCTACGTGGTTGTAAAAGAATTGGCGAAGTTACTGAAATTGGTGGCAGGTATGAATTGGATCTTGGGCAACAGGATCTAGGTTCACCAACAATAACAAAAAAACTGACCCTTGAAAATTCTACGCACGAAAGAATTTCATATCATATTAAAACTGTCTTTGCAAATGATAAGAATTGGCTTAATATAAGTCGAATTGAAGGCACATTAGAGTCATCAACAGGAGAACATCATCGTCAATACAACAATGTCCACACTATTACACTGAGTTTTTTAACAAATACAAGGAATGTATATTCGACTTATGTGATTATTAAAAATATGAACAATCCTTCGGATACAAAAACTATACGCGTAATGATGGAGATTGTAGCAAGACAAAATATAAAAAGAGGAGTCAATGTATCATTGGAAAATAATAATGTTTTTGATGTATATGTGAATGGAGTAGATATTAGTCAATCATGGATTGAAATGCTGAATCTTTTTTATGGAACTGAATACACTGCACGTAGCATGGTCATTTATAATAGAGAAAGTGTTCCTTTAGAATTCACGGTAATGATTTATTCAAATTTATGATTTAACTATATTAATTATTATGTACATTTTCTTCTGAGACTTTTCTTTTTTGTAGTTTCAAACAAATCTTGATTATGATGATCCAACAGAAATAGTTTTCTCAACTTCAAGAATGTCTGCAAAGTTGTTCAAAACACTAACAGTTGAGCCTGAAAGTAATGTTAGAGTTTATATCTGTGTAAGACCACTTCCTTCTCAAACAATACAAGAATCACTTCAATGTGGAGAACAAAGAGATACCAATTTGGTCGAAGAAAAAAACATTGAAATTTACGTAAATTGCAGGCTTGTAAAAGATTTCCAAAAAATAATAATGTTAAAGGCTGAGTGTAGGATGCCTTCTTTACAAGTTACTTATTGTGAGATGGAAGCTTTGATGGGTAGGACGATATTCAAAAATCATTATTAATAGAAAGTGCTATGATTAAAATAATAATAAAATTTATTTATTTTAATTTATTATCCATCAAGGTAAAATTCATCATAATGAATCTGATAACAAAGATGAAGATGAATGGATTATTAATTTTGATCCAGAATATCGTGAAATAACAATTACAAATTTATTAGATTCTCCTTTGGAATATGAAATTGTTAATGATACAATGTATTTTACTTTGGAATTTTCAAATAACAAAAAGAAAGTAGATCCAAAGTCTTCTCACAATGTTATTGTTCGCCCAAATCTAAAGAGTTTAGCTAAAAATATAGAAAGTGTCAGAAGAGTAAGTATTATTAAGTCACAATGTTTGTCAATTGTACTTTTTTTTTATTTTTTTTTGCCTCTTTAGGAAAAATATATTCAAGAAAATATGACAGTTTATAATCGAAATAGACCTTCAGAAAATTATTGGATACCGTTAAGAATAAGTTTTGGATATATATCAAACTTTCAGGTTTTTATCTTTAATCTTTAAAAACCTTTGCATGCATGAATGTTCAAAACCAATTAAAAAATCAATTTTAATGTTTTATATACTTAATAGTTGGCATCTGGTTACAAAGTGTCATACGCATTTAGTGTTTTAGAAAATCATACTGTTTGTTTCTTAAGTGATTTTAATAGGAACATACAACTCTTTGATTTATTAAAACAAAAACCTGATGAGGTATGAATGAATTTGAATGGAATTCAAATAGTTTTTAATATTCTTTGGTTTAAATTAAAATAATAATATAATAATAATAGATTGTGAAAAGAAAAATGGTAGATCTAGAGTTTCAGTATTTTTTTATTGTAGATCAGTTAGTATATTATGCCACTATTAAAACTGGCGAAAATTGGTTTCAACTTGCTGGTTTACTTTTCGGGTTCGTATATTTGTATAAATCTTTTTTTATTTATTTGTCAATCCCTTATGCATATTAACAATATTAAATATCATCAGGACAATATTAAGTAATAATATTTTCCAGAAGCATGGACCTTTATACCTTAAAAGATCACATGCTAATCATACATCAAATAATGAACAAGGAGTATGGTCACCAGAATTAGCAAAATGGGTATGTAATAAATAACGATTGATTTTTTTAATTGTAATTTATTAATTTATTTAAAAAAAATTTTTTTCAAATAGGTTGCAGCATTAAACTATTTTATATCATTTTTTCCATATCGAAATCCAATGCTTGAGACTTTAAAGGAACTTCATAAAAATATGATAATAATTCCACCATCTGCAATTTCAAATTGATTGATTTTTTTTTTTGTAATTGTGTTTATTTTAAAGTTTTTACAATTAGAATTTATTTATTCATGTATATAGAGTTTTACATATTAATTATTTTATTTTATTTTTTATTCATACAATAATAAAATTACATCCAATAATTTTTATTTATTAGAAGAAGCATGAAAAAAAAAAATAAACTGAGGGATTAAAGCCTGAGCTACATTTATCTAGTTTATTTTTCTGTTGTTATAAAATTTTATGAGGTCTATAACAAGTAAACCTTATTACAACTAAATCAGGAAGATCCAAATCCTCCCTATAGCTAATTGTGGCTTCATAGAAAGTCATCATTGCTGCTGCTGCCACCAGCTAGACATATCCTGCCACAGTTAAAATAGCAGCAGAGGGGTCAGTAAGTCCCCCTTATAAATGGATCAGGTCTCTCTCCATAAGTGTTTGTGTGCAAAAAAATGTTCCTTATGTTACAGGCAGCATTAACATCTCGATTCCAATGTGTCAGACAGACTGATTTGCAGACTCTGACAGACCAGAATTTTTGATGCTTATCAAACCACCCACCACACAAAGAATAGACTGAGGAAGTACAGAATTCACCACCTTGCAGTGTCTAGAAAACTCTTGGCGAAATTCTTTTACAGGGCTAGAGCATGTTGATGAGAGTTTACCATCACCAAATGCAACAACTGTACTGTCACCATTACTATTTGTTATTCTCTTGCACAGAATATCAAAGGCCTTCTGCTTATTAATAAAAGATTTCCATCAATTCTGACACAATTTATGATACAAGTTTATAATAATAATAAACCTATCTTTAACAATGAAATAATAAAAGCGCTAGTCTTCATACTAATCCCGTGTATAATTATTTTCCCTTATTTATATTTTTTTTTTTTTTGGATTTATTTAGGGCCTTTGTTTAATATTAATGATAGTTTTGAAAATAAAGCATAATAATACTATTACTATACATATTCGCGGAAATTATTATTATTATTAACGATCCCTGAAATCTTTGGTAACACCAATGTTCACTTTGTCTGGAATGTCCCATATAGTTTAGGCAATTTTATAATTTTACCATTGTTGTTGGGTTGGATCTACTCCTGTTGGATTATGTGCACAGGCATGCAACAAAAAGGTTGAGTTTTTTGGTGCATTCTAATCATACATGTTATTATTATTAGTAGTAATAATTAAATAATCAACAAAAAACAATAAAGAAACATGTTATTATTATTGATTAATTAATTAATACCTAGCAATCCATTAAAATCAAATCTATTTCTAAACTGGAATCTTTAAATACAGCATTATGATTGCCCCATGTTGGTTTAGGTGAATAGATTTTTTAACATATGGATAATATCTAGATAAAAACACACCTCTAATTCTAAGAGCTCCCCCTGTTCCTGAAATTGATTGAGTGATTGAAATCTATAAAGAAAATGCGTTTTAGTTGATTATACTTATTAAAAAGAAACCTTTTATTAGCAAAGGTTCATCAGCTTACTAATCCATTTTTAAAGGTTCAGAATCTTTACTGTAAGTCAAAAGAGCTGCACCTTGAGTAAACTAGAAAGACTGGTAATTTGAAGATATCCTTATCAAGTTGATCAAGTAATTTTTTTCTCCTTTAAATAATAAATAATAAATCAATTTTTTTTTGTCACGTTAATTTCATCAATGGAGATTAAATATTTTAATTTAATTTAATTGAACCTTTCTGAAAACATATGATCATCTCTATAGGCACCAACTCCCAAATTCGTGTTTTTGGGATTGGTATCTTTTTTATAAGCCTAAAATTGCATCAGGCGGATCTTTTTGATTTTGTAATAAAATGATAACAATACATATATCAAAATTTTAATAAAAAATTTTATAAACCAAATTTAACCTTGAAGAATATGAGCCCAACTAGTAATAAAAGCACAATATTGTTGCAACCATTAAATAAAAAAGACCATGTGAAAATTGTCTGAAAACATTTTTTTTGTAAAATTACAAATAATTCTATTTTTTTTTAAAATTGGATTTTTATTTATTAGTAAATGTTGCAAGCTTTTATTAGTGACAATAAATAGTTTATTATTTATATAGCATCTTTTATATATAAATAAATATATATACACAGTTAATATTAAATTAATAATTAATTAAAATATAAAATCAATGTTTAAAAAAATAGGATTTTACCAGTTAATATTTTGT